GTTCTGCTCTGAAAAACCTGCATTTCAAACAGCTCCTGCTCAGCTGCTGCCCAGACTGAAGAATGTCTCCTTTCTTAACTGCAAAGTGCTCTGGGAGCCAAAAATCCTGTTTTGTATATCAGGGTCGACTAGCTTTTGATTTCTAGCTTATGCAAGGCATACCTGATTTTTAAACTAGTCTGAGGCTCTGATCCAGCAAACAGCCTTCAGGCATGCATGCCACAAACAAGCAGCTCCTCGTGAGGGATCCCAGGGTGTTGGGGATGCCTTCTTTTAGATTGTGCATAGTGGCAGTGTCTGTATTTAAAATGACAGCAGGTAGGTGAACCATTCATCTAACAGGAGATGCTTGGTCTAGTCAAACAGAGGACATTCAAACAGGCATCTTCTGCCTTTTGGGAGAACCTCACAAAGGAATTGTGTAAGTCAGACTGGCCTGAAGACTCTCCATGCTCTCTCCTGAAACTGTTCTGCTCTCAATCAGTGTGTGACCCCCTCAGTCACAGTGCGACACCATTACCTCTTTTATCTGGGAGAAGCCTTAGTTCAGTCCTTGTGGTGGGCTGACTTTGGCCTCCAGGTGGATATCTGCTCCAGTGTGGATCAACGTGGGCTGCAGGGGCACAGCTGCCTCACCATGGTCTTCATCACAGGCTGCAGGGGGATCTCAGCTCCTCTGCTGCCTGGAGTACCTCCTCCCTCTTCTCCACTGACCTTGGTGTCTGCATAGTTGTTCCTCTAACATATTCTCACTCCTCTCTTCTCTGGCTGCAATTTCTTCATGTTATCAGAGTTGTTACTACCACCACTGATTGCCTCAGCCTTGCCACAGTGGTGGGTCCACCCTGGAGCCTCTGGCACTGGCTCTGCCACACATGGGAAGCTTCTAGCAGCTTCTGACAGAAGCCACCACTGTAGTCCCCACACTGCCAAAACCTGGCCATGCCAACCCGATAGAGTCCATTCTGGTTTTGCCACCAGTTGTATTATAAAATGTACTAACATGCCTGAACTTAGGAGCAGAAGTTATTCTGTCCCAGATAAGTGTCATAAGTATTTAAAATTGGATTCTGCACACCCTACATTTAAAAATGCACCTTTCCTTATGTCAGTCAGCTGACTACCTTCAGTTTATAGTCCATGGGGAGAAACAGATACCTCATTTTAAATATTTACCTTGTGGAAACTAGCCCTTAATATACCAGATTGCTTTATTCACCTGCATGGCAGGTTAATTCTCCCCATAGATTCTTAGGGTAACTGATGGTAACAAGCTCACAAAATCAGGTCTTTCCAAGTAGTCTAGCTGAGATTAATTACAGATGGTCAGTCATGCCTGTACCTCAAGTTGAAAGGCCTGTGGATTGCCCTCACTCAGCCTTTCCCACAGCCTAACAAGCAGAGGAATTTCCTCAAGAGTGAGGTGATGAGGAAATGCTTAGATTTGTCCCAGCCCTTTCCCAGTTGACAGTTCTTAGCTGCTCACTGTGGGCTTCCTGCATCATGACAAGGCGTGTAGCTTGGATTGCCCTTTGTGGATTTGCATCTCCGTGTTGGGCATTGTGGGACCAAAGGCCATTACCCTGGCGTGTCTGCAGCATTTCCCCCATGGCTTCTTTGCTGTTCCTGCTGTCTAATTGGAGAGGTAACTGATCCAGCTAAAAGAAGTAACAAATAGCTCTACCAGCAACTACTTCAGTAAGAAACAGTGCTTATGTAAAACATAAATGGTGGTGTAGGTCTAGCACGTAGTGTCTCATGAGATATGTTCAACATTTAGAGAGTACCTGGAGAAAGCTGCTGTTCTGATGACAGAAATTAGGTTACAGTACATGGAAAATCCCACTGAAAGTATCTCCATGTACACTGAAAACTAATCAGGAGTTTTCAAAAAAGTTAACTGTAGAGTAACTTCAATGATTCCTTTAAGTATCAGTTTGTATTTATTGTTATTTCTGGTGCTCCTTCCGCTTGAAATATTTTCTCAGGTGCATCACCCTGATATGGAAACCTACTTCAGTGGATATGATGGATCAAAATACATTATGCAGCCATGGTTGAAAAAGCTCTATCCTCATGACTGAGTACTTCAGTGTCTGTACATGCACTGTACATCCAGACAACAGATATCCTTTTTAAACTTGAGCAAACAGAACCAGGATAAAATGTGTATTTTTTCCTACGCTGAAATAAAACATTCCTAAGCACGTTTTATGTTGAACACTCAATTTTGTTAGAAATGGATATGCTGCATGTTAAGTTTAGCACGACTCAGGATGGGGATTAATTTCCTTCCAGATCTGGGAAGAAAGGTGCAAATGTAACCCTGTTTCAGCCAGGAGTACCACAGGTTTTGTACATCAAGTATCTTGTCATTTGACAGGGGGCAGATGAAGAAAATAAGCAGTTATGGACTGTAGCTTCAGAATTAACTGCAACCTTAATTTTAGGGGACAGAGCTACCGTAAGAATGAAGTAAAAAACACTGATAAAAAACTCAAAGTATAAAAACTTTATTAAGAAAATGTGTAGGATTGGAAAGTTTCTAGAGCAATTTGCTTCTTCTGTTTTCCCTCCCCTTTATCTCAAACACAGCACACACTCGACAAGAAGCATAAGCAGTAGCACTCTGGATTCTCTCCTGCAGAGTCAGTGAGTCAGGGGAGTGTGACAGGTGACAGTCTATGTGGCCTCCCCATTCTTTTGTTTCTTCTTCTTTTATCCATAAAGGCTTTCCCAAGGACTGGCCAAACAGGTGACAGACTTCCTGCGCTTTCCGCCGAGTGTTTCTGACAGCAGCAACGCAGACTTGACGGCTGAGAGGCAGAAGCAGCAGCACAATAACCAGCAGAGCCAACTGATGCACACATTCCTGCCAAGATTTTTTCTGTGGTTTTAATGTCTTAGCTTTTGTGGCTGCATAGTCAGTAAGGCCCATCAACCTTCCCTTGGCTTTTGGGCCGTAGCGTGGTCGTTAGGGGACAGTGTGTGGAGAAGTCAGCATCCTCACCAGCTATGGTCATGCATTTCTAGCACCTGCATGCTGCAGGCATCCCTGCTGTGTGTGCAGAGCAGGAGTCCAACCCTTGCTCCAGGCATTTGGGTGGCCCAGCTGTAAGGCACACTAGCACCTGTTTAACCCCACTGGCCTGATTCCCTGACCTCCTGCCTAGATCCCTCTGACATACACTTTGGGCATCTCCAGGATCACTGGCAGCAGCTAGCTGAGCTTGCTTCTTGGACCAGGCATAGTTCTTTTTGTTAAAGAAGAGGCAAAACCCCAACCAAGGTTAAACTTCCTTCTGCCCCTCCCACATCAGTGGAAGATGGACAATTCTGTGTTGACCTAATATTCACAGTAGATTTTACTTTCAATGGAAATCAGAGGGAAAATACTTTTTATTACATTCTGCTTTTGCACAGGGACTAGAACAAGCTCTATCTTTTAGGCTGAACAACATTATTTTTAAGTTATACTTAAAACAAATACTGAAATCTTTGAATATAAATTTTAATGGGTGCAAAGGAAACTATTTGCTCCCGTTACAAACAACATCCATGTCAGCTTTGTGGCACCTGAGAACTTACCGAAGGGTGTCTATGGCTTCTGGAGGGTGGGAGAAATGAGGGGCACTGATGGTAACAGAGGTTCCTAACTTTTCAGTGAGTAGATTGCAAACATTCTGCATTTTCCCAAAATCACTGAATATGATACAGACCTGGGAGTGAACACAGACATCATATGAGTCATTGTCTTCATTTTTCCCCAGTGACTCAACACTGGTATTTAAACCAGTATAGAGCCAGACGTGTACAAGGTAACTAAACAGACTCTTCCTGTGTGTAACTCCAACATTTATTTACTTAGAAGACTTTTATACAGCCCTAGAGACCAGCATTAGATTTGCAACTGAAAGAAGTTAATTAAATGGTTTGAAACAGGATTAAGAAGTCCCTTTTCGTGAGGCAGTATGGCATTCTTGGTATGTAGACAATCTGAAGAATGAACGTGCTCTTTGAGACACAGGACTAGATGCATCCTGGTTCTTCCCTTTTTAAATCACTAGATGTTAATTATGCAGAAGCTCAAGCAAAATGATGTGGAAAACATTGTGCAAGAAGGAAAATTACATTTTCATTCCAAGCATTAGGTTCAAGAAACCCAAGATATGAGATTAAACGAAGCCCAGCCCAGTTCAGCTTGCAGTGGGTTTAAAATGCTGCTGTCTGAACAGACTTGCTGCAGTGCATACAGAGAATTGGGCACTTCAGACGTGGATTAAAAACAGTTTAAACACCAAGCTGGCTGTGGCTTGGGCAATAAAAACATTGAATGCAGATGTATCAGGAATTCAGCTGCTTTCCTAAATGCTACAAAGCAGACATCACTATCACCCCTCCAGCCAGAGCCCTGCAAGCCTTGAAGGGAAGTGCCAGCCAGGTGGCAACTTTCCAGGCAGGAGCCAGGCTCTGTCTGTGGCAGAACACAGCTGTCAGGAGTGAATCAATGGGGTGTTTAAAGAGAGGTGGTTTAACCCTGGGGGTGTTTAAGGAGAGACTGGATGTGGCACGTACTGCCACAGCCCACTTGACATGGTGGTGTTAGGTCACAGGTTGGACTTGATCTTTTCCAACCTGATTGATTCTGTGATTCTGTAATGACACTGAGGTGATCCAGCATTCAGGAATCAGAAATCCTGGATCCCACATGCTTTTTTAGAAGAACTAAAACCTCATTTTCCCTTCCCAGTACAGTGCTCTCACCACAAGTCAGGCTCACCACCTCTCTTATCTCCAACTTCAGCAAGGGGGTGGAGAACAGAACCTGCAGTAAAGAAAATTCTCCTGCCAAACCCTGTGACTTCTGCAGTCCATGCAGCAATCTACTCCAGTGAAGGTATATGGTACAGAAATCCAAGTTATGGCATGTCAGCTGCACTGCAGTAACATCCTGTGTGCGTTCCATGGATTCACCGTGTGGAAAATGAGATAATTCAAGGAAGCTGAGTGTCTCAGGGAGAGAGCAGGGAGCGACATCCTACATAGAGTAAGGCAAAAAATGGCTATTGACAATTATCACAAAGTAATTAATGCACACACCTTGTACCCTTGACAGGCTCTCAGTGTAGTACCTGCAGCTCATCCTGACTTGGATCCTTTCAGTGGCTCTTCACACACTGAGCCAAAGCTGCACTTAGGGTCTTAGAAATGGAGTGGCAAAGCAGCTCTATCTTCTACATGGACAAAGGGTCACACACCAAGTTTGCATCTTCACCTCACTGCACACTCTTTATCGGTACCTTGGGAGTTCCATCACTTTCTGGAAGGTGCAATATCCATCTGAACAGAGACTGAAGACAAGACCACACCTAGATTTCTTTCTTCAGTGGGAGTTCTTGCCATGCATATAAAAAGCACACATCCCATTGTGGTGTTTTGCCAGGAAACTGTCATAGCTTCGTTTTGTGGAAAGTTGAAAGTCTCACTGTGAGGACTGTCATAGTGTTTTCCAGATTGCTATCAGCATTTACAAGATTAGTTCCCTCAAGGGGATGAAACCAAAGAATGATCAAACAAAAGAACCATGGGTCTTAAGCAGGTGATATAAAATGCTCAGACTGGGGCAGTTCTGGGCACTTTATTGTTAGAAAAGAAGCATTTAATCAAGTACCCTCAGGGGCAGGAAAAACTGAGCAATTGCTGAATTTTGCTGTTGCACACCCCTGCTAAAAATCACAATTTTTGCTTAGAGCTGGAGCCAATAAATTCCACTTACATTTACACGGGATACATTAAAATGCAAAGCAGTGTTTCAACTTCATGGCTTATCAAGGACAAAGTGTGAAAAAGTAATATAAGGGTATGCTAAACTATTACAGCCATTCCAAGGTTTGGCTAAGGCTGTAAAGGACAAGAAGTGATGATTTAGAAGGAGGCAAGTGTATTAAGAAATGCACAAAACCAACATAATCTTCATCCCATGAGATCCTCATGCAATAAATGAACTATTATGATTAAGATATTAGAGAGCTTTGTGATCTCATACACAACTTCATTCTTCTGCATATTTTCCTTTGTTATAGCATGAATTAAAATTTATCTCCTTACAGCTGAATGCGTATCTTGAATTCTTCATTATACTTTAAATAGCTACTTGTCTGGGAATTTCTTCAGACTTCTGAAAACTATGACAGTAGACAAATGGTAAAAAGACTTTATAGAGAGCAGCAATGCAAGACTTGCAAGATTTTACGTAGAACACAAGTATAATGGCAAATTCTTTAATAAAAAAAAAGTGAGTGGAAGTTAAGTTTTAAATTCATTTCCATTGCTAAAGTATGCAAACACTCTGGACAATGGAACCTCATTGGTTTATGAAGCTGCACTAATGAAACAAGTATATACATAAAGGGAGAAGCAAGGAGAAACTAATCTCTGCATAAAGAGTGACCACGCAGCTCCCTAAGCCTGCAGGGCAGCCAAAACAGCAGCACTGTGGCTGGATTGTTCGAGTTCCAGCCCCCGAGGCCTAGGCAACCACGCAGCTTTTGGGCAGCAATTACTGCTGGTCCAAGCTGCTTACAAATGAACACTAAATCCAAGTAATTAGCTTTCCACATACAAGCTTTGTTGTGTAAAAATTAATAGCAGCGGAGAGATGATTGGTGAAGTTACCACGAAAGACTGAAGTTGTAAGCCTAAGCTTGTCTGTAGCCTAAATAATTCAAATCTAGTGCTATTAATTTTTCAGTACAGGCCATCCAAAAAACATGGTGATTTAAGCTCTCAAGGTGTTTACATGAGGAAGCTAAAGTCATTCAGAACATGACACTGATGCACGCCATTTAGTATCTTAAGACTCATTTTAAAATCCAAATTTTGTTCTCCAAATTTGTCATTATTCCTGCATTTATTGGTGTTATTTAGGTGAGAATATGCCCTAAAGCAAGTAAACTAAGGAGGCTGAACCTGCTTAAGAGGACTGTAAACCACAGCTCTATAAAACAGCTATCATTTTATTGCAAGCATCCAGGTCTACTTTGTAAGAATCTGTAAATTTGCTGGGTAGTGATTAAAGTTTCATGCTCCAAAAAAATACATTGGCTGAACACCCATAATTTCCCTCAGTGAATGTTTCCAGCACAGCATTTATTTCTTACTATAGCATGAACGTGCAAAAATATACTCCCTTGAGCAGCCACTAAAGTAAATGGGATTACTCCCATAATGTTTGGCTTTCACAGAGCACTTTTTACCTACAGAATTTCAATTACCCATGAAACAATTAGCTTTGCTTTATGTGGAGCAAGCTGATGGTAGGACAGACCAAAAGTGCAGGTGCTGTGGTTTAAGCAGATCTAGGTTAAGGCTGCCACACCACTGCTGTCCCCATCCACTCTTGTCCTCTGCTTTGCATTGCCCCCAGTTCAAGGAGCTACACAAAAATAAAAGCTAACCTGGGGAAAAAAACAGTTCTTAACTAGGGCAGCTTTCTGAAGTGACCAGCTCCTCACAAGACACAGGGCAGGAAGGGCTGTGGGTGAAGGAGAGTGCAGCATTGTTGGTTTGCTTATCCTGACACAGAACAACACTTGCAGAGCCCCAGGACCAAATCTGCCTGTCTGCAGCACCCTGTAACATTCACAAAGCACACATTCTCTGTGAAGAAAACAAGTCCTGCACACAACAGAAGACTGCAGCTGAACTCTGCTATGAACTGCAGTCCTTCAGCAGTTTCTCTGAACTACACTGCCCTTATGCTCCTTGGTATGAGAATAGAGTCTGCACATTTCCATCAGTCCTTGCATTTCTCATTCTTTCATTACTGTTTTTGGTTAGGTTGCATACATACCTCTGCTTCCATTTGGTAAGTATTTTCTACTCTACTAAAATCCTCTGTTACAGTCATATTTTCTTCCTAAAACAAAGTAGAGGAACATAATCTTAACAGACAGAAATTAAGCATCTGATGGAAATGTATGTACATGGTGCCCTACAAAAACTGAACTGTTTTGGCACATTACTTATGACTTTGCAACAGAATTCTGAAATTTTCCATGCAAGTATATTCAGTTAAAAACTAGCTGGAAGTTAAAGACTTCTTGACATTTTTCAAAGTAAACTATACAACAGGCCTATAATGTAATTTTGCTGCTATTCAGTTGAAGTAAACAATTAGGTCTTAAAAGTGACTGCTAGGTAGAAGCTGTGTGTATTAGTGTGTAACTTGCTTGGTGCAAAAAACTAGAAGCTTCAATTAATTGTCTTTAGAAAGTTAGTATGTGACAAGTGCTTTCCAGGACTCTATTTTAAGATAGTTTAACAGTAGCAGCTTGTGGCAAGGTCATGTGAACAACAACTGAGTATCAGTTATTCCTGGCAGAGTGGTAACTCTCAGAAAAGGCTGTTCCACCGGTGATACTTCTGCATCAACAGCAGCCACGTTATTCAACATAATGTCTGCACAGAGCACTAGCAAACCCTGCAAGACTCACAGAGTAACTCCAGCTACCTCTGAATATTTGACCAGCTCGCTAGTGGTCTAACAAACACATTTCTTTCACTCACTTCACTCTGCAGCAAACAGTTTTGAATGAACAATTTTTTGTAAACTTACTCTAACATGGCAAAAAGCAAAGCCTACAACTTAATTGTAAATGTAACTGTGGATTTAATACCCAGGAACTGTAGGGAAGCAGATACTAAGCCTTCCAATTACTGAAAAAGTTTTACTTACTAAATATACTTGCATAGGAAAACAATATTTGCTTTCAGTGTTGACACATTTCAAAAGATGTTTTGTGTCAGAATATTTCCTACAGAGGCTCAAATCTTCAAGTTTATCATGTAGCATGCAGAAGTTTATGTAAATGACATTAACTGTGAGAAGCATTTTCTTTTTAAAATATTCTATGGAAATTAGATCTCTAATTAACATTGCACAGCACCCTACAAGAAACAAATTTTGAAATATCAAATTTATGATTGATTGGCAGTGCTCAAATTCAAGCACAACAGTCCTAGTTTTGGATAATCTCATCCAGTAAGGACAAGGATTGTGGCCAGTTAGTCACTAAAAGCTGCGGTTTCACAGGATCACAAAATAATCAGAGCTGGAAGGGACCCTTGAGGAGCAGCTAGTCCAACTCCTGGACCTGCACAGGAGATCCCCAACAATCACACCCTGTGCCTGAGAGCACTGTCCAAACAGTCCTTGAGCTCTGTCAGCCTTGGGGCTGTGACCACTGCCCTGGGAGCTGTTCCAGTGCCCAAACACCTCTGGGGGAAGAGCCATTTGCTAATATCCAGCCTAAATCTCCCCTGATGCAACTCACTGGTTGCCAGAGGAGAGGTCAGTGCTGCCCCTCCACTTCCCTCAGAGAAGAAGTTGTATACAGTGATGAGGTCTCCCCTCAATCTCCTCTTCTCCAGGCTGAACAGACCAAGTGACCTCAGCCACTCCTCATATGGCTTTCCCTCAAGGCCCTTCACCATCTCTTTGCCCTCCTTTGGATGCTCCCTAATAATTTAGTATCTTTCTTACACTGTGTTGCCCAAACCTGCACACAATATTCATGGTGAGGTCACACAGTGCAGAGCAGAGCAGGACAATCCTTTCCCTGGACCTGCTGGTGCTGCTGTGCCTGATGCACCCCAGGGCACAGCTGGCCCTCCTGGCTGCCAGCGCTTGCTAACGAGTGATCAAGTCAGTCCAGCACCAACAGCTCATTTAATTTACAAAATGGGGAAAAATCTTACTATTTATGACCAAATCTAATTACAACTGACAAGAAATCAGTTTTTCCTGTGAGCTCTCATATATCTTACAGATACAACCACATGGAAAAGCTTACTTCTGCAACTCAGAACTACATGCTGTAATACAACTGCAAACATAGAAAAAAGTGCGTTTGCTTTCCTCTTGTCCCCTCTCCTTAATCCCTCCTAAAATGAAGTTCTCTTTCCAAGTCCCCCCGAGCCCTCCCGCGGTGCCCGTGGCTGTCAGGACAGTGCCATCCTGTGGCTCCAGGTGCTGCTGCAAGATCAACGCAGGGAGTAAAGACCATTTTGTACCATCTACTGCAAATTTTCCCTCACAGCTCATTTTCACCCCGCCAGACTTGACAGTGGCTGTATGTGTTCCTGAAGATAAACGGAGGAAGTAACTGCTGAAGCCATAACAACGTGGCCTTCTGTGATATATCTCCTGTTCAATACTTTGTTCCTGTTTGAGAGTCTGTTCAGAGAAAGATATGGAAAAGACAGGTAGGAGATGACAGGATTGTAAATTGGAATGAAGACTTACCCTACATCAAAAGCAAAAGGTTTTTTTCCCTACTGCTTATGTCTACTATTTGTGTTTTGGCTGAGGAACTATCCATTTGATTGCAATAGCCACAGGAAAAATAGTTTTCACTGTGACTTAGGGCAGCTACACTTGTGATGTGTCAGGTGTTTGGGACTTCTGGAATAACTTTCTCCACTTTCTAAATCCGTGGCCCAAGAATCACAGTAAGAAAATGAAATTAATGTAACAATATTGGTAACTCCATTACCCTAGAAGCCACTGAACAACTCTTAACAGAATCACACCTGCATTCTGCTTATACAGCTTAGTTTCTATGTGGCATAAACCATCACTGCTGCAGGCACTCTAAGAAACAAAGATGAAAAACTCAATATCCCATTGATCTTAAAACATCAAGTCTAGAACTGTGATTTGCCTTATATTTTACTTCTTTTCAACAGAACAAAATCTTACATAGGCCTTCCTCCTACCTATCTGCCACTTCTGAACAATGTCTTCCTCACAGTCACCCTCACAACACTGTCACTGTTTACAAGAATGACTGCTCTTTTCCCTGGAAAAGAGCAGGAAAAAAACTAAGTAGTTAAGTTATCAAAAGCACACTTGAAGGAGACAGCTATGTAACAGCACAGTGAGAACAGCCCATCTGCAACACAAACTTACCTGTTCTGCTTCTCCTTAATGGGCTAACGAAACTGCGAGACCTCTTTATGACATACCAGAGCAAAGCCTTGGTGAAAGAAAGTGTTTACAGTTTGGAAATGTATTCTAATGCCTGTTGTGATAAACTATGCTGAAATGTGTAGTTATAAATAAACAAAATCTGAAGACATCTGAAAATGTCTCTGAAACTTTACCTGTACATTTGCACTGCTAAACCCAATGTAACTTTACATTATGAGAAATAAAGACATTTAAACAATCAAAAGAGTTAGTTTCTTCCACCTGATCACAGAATCTTTGTCCTTAGTACTAAAGAAATAGTAAATGAGAGCCTTGATAACCCAAAAACCTACGGTCAAGAAGTTTCTGCTGCTTAATGTCCATTCAAAAATTAACAGAAGTATATGTAACAGTTATTTTAAGCAGATTTGTACTCAGCAAATGTAAGGATACTTTGGAGGTATTTCACAGAATATACAGAGCTGGAAGGGACCTTGAGGAGCAGCTGGTCCAACTCCTGGCCCTGCACAGGACATCCTCAAGAATCACACCCTGTGCCTGAGAGCACTGTCCAAATGCCTCTTGAACTCTGTCAGACTTGGTGCTGTGACCAATGCCCTGGGAGCTGGGAATTACCTTCTGGGGGGAGAACCATTTTCTAATATCCAACCTAAACCTCCCTTGACACAACTTCAGACCATTCCCTTGGGTCCTGTCACTGATTGCCAGAGGGAAGAGGTCAGTGCTGCCTCTCCACTTCCCTCTGTGAGGAAGTTGTATTCAGCAATGAGGTCTCCCCTCATCATCCCCTTTATTTCTTTAAATACATGGAGTCTGAAAAAGGTGATGCCTTACACAGGTTTACTTATACACTTTTATTATTCAAGGCTATATTGACATTGGAAGATTTGGTAACTGTGTGAGCAAAACTCCACATCTTTTTTTCTTTAACTGACTGTATGGATGTGCATCCTTAACTGTGACTCCCAGATAACAGTTTTGAAAAACAGATATATCCAAGGATATATCCCAGCACAGACAAACTCTAACCCAGAGCCCACTCACTGAATATAACTTGTGAGCTGGTTTGTTTGTTTTGTTAAATAACTCTGACAGGTACAACAAACATTATCACTTCTAAACAAGATGGCCAACACCAACTGTTAGACACAGGGATTAAAGGAAACAAGTGTCATCTCCACACCACTCCCCAAGTAAATCATAAGTGGTAAATACAAGATCAGTTTGCTCCTAGAGAAAGAGGAAAAAAATGCTACTTTTAAGCAGCTGGGCTGAGTAAGAGGGTTTGGTTTCCCTGTCGAATTTACTTCCCCTGCAGCCTTCAAAGCAGATTCTGTGCTCTGAAGTGCTGCATATACTTACAGCATACTATAAATAAATGCCACTACGTGCATCTATTCCTGATTAAAATCCTGTGTAAATGTATATGGAAATCAGGTGCTGCCCCCAGGCATCCTGACAAGCTCCTGCTGCTGCAAAGGTTATGCACTTTTGATCTCACAGACTTCCTATGACAGCAATAAGGGTTAAGGAAATTGTTGCATGGATTAATTAAAAATAAATATATAACATAGCCATCTGATTTCTAAAGAGGCCTTAGATAAGCTCGCAGCAACCAGAACCATATGGAGATTGTGAAGAAAGATTAATTTTACAGTTGTCTAGAATGGTATTAGCTACAAGTGAAGTTAGCAAATGCAGTTAAGAACAAATTGCCAGCAGTGAGAGTTGTTAGTAGAAAAGCTACAAGGCAAATAAAAGCTCCAGCAGTGGAGTGATTTAAAATTGGATGGAACAAAGCACTAAAAATTATACCGCAGGGAACTACTCTGAAAAAAAAAAACAACTTCATGTTGTTTTTCTCAGAGTCCCCTAGAGCTAACACTTTGCTAACACTGAGAAAGCCACAACTTAGGCAGCATTTC